ATTTTCCTGTTGCTATTATCTACCAACAAGAGCGGTACAAATGAAATTTTACAGATTTTTGCCGAAAAATTTATAAATAAAAAAAAAAAAAATTCCCTTTAACTGTTGATTGGAAGTACCAAGTTCAACAAATTTTTTTTAAACGATAGTGCTTGGTTTTAACAGTCATTTGAGCCTATTTAGGACCATCTGAAATATTGTACTCATTCACTACTAGTGTTATAAGTTGAATCGATGATCATCGATAATTCAAACGAAGAAAGGCCAATTAGACCAAACTCCGAGACACGCGTCTCACGTTTTATACCAATAGTGAAAAAAAAGTTTTATAACGCTGAGAAAAGAGATGCTTTTAGAATTGAGAGGTATGGAAGTGACGGATACAGAAGTAACAATTCAAGCTTGAAACTGCTATTTCGGCTCGTAGACTCAACATAAACAGTTTTCCGCTAACAAAACATCCTTCCTCAATAAATAGTACAAGAAAAAGAATTCTCATTACCTGTATAAGTAAAAAAGTGGCGGGTCTAGGAAGAGATGGAAGTGACCAAAATTGTAATACACAAGAAAAATAAAAAATAAAAATGTGTCATTTAAAGAGATTGGTATTTTTTACAGCTTTGGCTGGTTCGTTTGTCTTATTTTAATGTGAGACTAGAAAAATGACAATTAAATAGTGTTACAAAACACAACAGTGCGGTTTTTATAAATATTCCCGCTATATAACCCACGTTTATTAGATAAATATAACCGACGTTTAAGTTAAAATTATAGGACATTTGCTTATATATTAAAAATTAATGTTATTATGCCATATATATTATGTAACATACGACATCTATACTTGACAAAGTATGTGCGAGAATATTTCGAAAAAGATCATTTTTTCCCAGCACGAGCTTTTAGGTGCAAAATTGAAATTGGGACAGGGTACAATAGTAACATTTTGCCGATATTTTATTAAGGGGGCTCCAGCGAGCAGTGGTACCAACCCAAAAATAATTGTGATATTTGGTATCACTGCTGCAGGTTTATGTAGGAGCACCATAGTATAGTATATGGGTCATTCTACTAAAAAACGGCATATTTTATGTCCCAGTCGAATACTAAGTCGTGTAAGGAGATATCGATCTGGGAACTTTTTTAATTACTCAAAGGATGTTTACTGCTGAAGGTACAACATAATTCAGACCTAAAAGAGTATTCCTTTAGTTTAAGATGCAAAAAAAGGTCTAAATTAGCGTCACGGGCTCATGTCTTATTCGAAAATTTACAGTTTTGACGACGTCTGCAATTAAAACACGGAGTTTTTAATTTTCTACGGTATGGGATTTTAAGGTTGTTAACACAAACAATATTAACACGAGTTTTAGGCGGCAAAAAAAATTTTATCTTAGAGTTGGTTGCTGTTAAAGTTGCAGGACCGAAATCTTATAAATTTAAAATTCCAACGGAAAACACTCTTACAAACATATGCAATAAAATTTGGGAACTCTAAATAGGGCGTTTTGTATTCTACATAGGTCAAGGTTGCTGCAGGAATTTTTTTCTAATTTTTCATTCCAATAAACCAGTTCTACAGGCTCGCGAATTCGAAGATTCTGTCTCCCACAAATAAAACTTAGAGCCCGTAGCACTAAGAAATGTTATGTAACTTTTTGAAACGTTCGGTTATCGACTCGGAAGGTGGCGGGTTAAAATTGAGCTATTTTATATACACTAGGTAACTACCGCCAGGAGCGACATCCGTTGTCAAAATGCCTTAATAAGGGGGTGAGAAAAGCTAAACAGGTATGTGATAACCATGTACAAAGAGTTACTTTGTTTTCAAATTTTATATGATTATGGGACTTAGAGAATATATACATGAAGGAAGCACAGTATTTTATTGGCATTAGCCAAGAGTAGTTTTTTGAATCTTATTATTGTAGTGTGAAATCTTATAAAATAAATTTATTTATAAAAATATATAAAAATTATAAACAAACGAAACGTAATAAAACAAGTATTATGAAAATGTATACCTGAAAAAAAAAAAAAAAAGCATAGGTCAGATTCGTAGCCCAGAGCGCAGGAGCTAATCGAGCATTCTTGACCGCTCAGCTATCGATGACAAACATTCTAACTGAGTCATTAGCCATACATGAACTGTTTAACCAGGTATGAGGGCTTTAATTAAAATTGGAAATTTTTATTCAAATTTTGTTGTTTTAATTATGTTGTAATGGAAGATTATTGTTTTAGTGTGTATTGTTCGGAATTCCGCTTTGGCCTTCTATACTTAAAGAAGATATATTCTATATTCTCTGGTAATGTATAAGTTCTTTTTCATCAGAGCTTAGGTTACATATATCTGCTCTGTTCCCCCACGACCGCCACTCGTGGATAGGACTATACCTATATATACGGAAGGGGGCCAACCAATCAGAGGCGTGTAAGAGAGAGAAAGGTTGTACTGCTATTTGTCTTTTGTCTCTCTCATCTCGTCTCGCGGTCGGAGCATACAATGCTTCCTCCATGTATATATTCTCTAAGATCGCAACTATACAAACTGTGATAGTAGCGTGTAGCATATTGGAAGTGTAAATCGACTCCCGGCGCCCCTAGCGTATTTTATCTGAACTCGAGTTGGGTCTAGCCGCCAATGATTTAAACACATGAAAAATGTCAAAGCTAAATTTAATGTTTGGTTTTTATTGTTCTTCAGTCAAGTAACGTTATAAGACTGATTTAAGGATGTTCATCACACATAGCGTTTTTTGTACGATCTTCCTGAAATTTCAACAGGACGCTCGTAATGACGTGAGAAAGTTACATGTAAAATTTGAGATCGTTTCACAACACCGTTTTTTAAATATTGAATGTTGAAATAACTTTAATTTGACACGTAACCTTATGGAGGAGTCACAAAAATAGAATTTATAAGAAAATGGTATCTAGAATTTTTCCAATTTTTTTTGCATGAAGCAATACCAAAATACTTGTCTTATTCTCAATCTTTAGAGAGATCGACAAGTTACTTTTGCAGATAAATAAAAAAAAACAGTGTCAGACGCCTATGCATTGGTATACAAATGCATTCAAAATAATTGCCGGCGCTGCCACAAGCTCGCTCCCCCCTCAATGCACTCTCTACATTTGCTCTCTAATTGTACGAACGTCCATAATAATGACGAGTGTTTGTAAATGCTGTGTCCCCAACTGTTTTTAAAAAAAGTTCCGAAGTAGAAATAATCTTACATAAATTTCCAAAATCTGTTGATCGTAAAAATTAGTAGATACAAAGGTGTAATATAACCAAGCAGATTGGATCCAAGTCTGCTGTAGGCAGCACACACTTTTTGGTATCAAAATACTTATACTAAGACAATTCCCTTAAAATTTAAATCAGTGACGGCTTGATCCAACTCGAGTTCAGATTAAATACGCTAGGGGCGCTAGGAGTCGGTTTACACCTCTAATACAATGCATTATGTAAAGCGATATACTTAAGTTCATTAAATAAAGGAAAAGGGAAGTGTAAATATCCACAGTAAGTCAATACACTATAATAAATAGCTATGTGCTTGTGTGTATGCTTTAAACCGTTTCTTTACGTGAAAAATTTTTTTTAAATATCTGCTGCAAGGGGCGCAACCTCTGCATCAACTCGGAGCAAATAAAAAGAGAATAATTTGTGGCTATTTACTTACATTTTCCAATAAAAAACCTATTTCTTGTACTCTTGAACTTGGTACTTGTTGTAACCATATTAAGTAATCCTTAATGTACAATTGATTGAAGATGTATCTTGGTTCATTGGAATTATTAAGAATTGAATAAATGTCACAAAAACGCTTCAATACATATTTCTTACCTAAGTGTCGTAGACGTAAAAATGAACAAACATGAAATTAAATGTGACATAATTTAAAGCTTTACCTAATTTAATTACTTTTTGTACGTCCTCAAATACTTTCATGGAAAAATTCCAATTCCTCACAAGTGGAAAGCACAAAGAACGTCTTACACTACATAAAATAACATCACGTATATCTGTAAAACTCTAGCAATAACATAAAGTTAATTAAGCATATTAAATAATGTATACCCATAAATAATAGTCATACCTGAAACCATGATAGAGTTGAACTCAGTTTTGTCAATATCCAACCACTCTCAGTATTATTTTCCCCCTCTGTAATTCGGCAGTTGTAACAACTGGCAAATAAAATATCTACCATACCATATAAAATCATATTTACTTCAGTACTGTCTAGTAAGTAATCTTTATTTGGTAATTCTTTAAGTAAATCTTTTTCCTCATTGCTGAAACACACGTCATCTTCCACAAGTTTTTCCCACTCACAAACATAACTCATGGCAGAGACGGCATATTCTTCGGGTGTCATTAAATCAAACATGTAATGATCCTCGTCAAAACTAAGAACTTCATTAATTTCTCTTAATTTTTGCCTATCTTTTGGCAACGTTTTATCTGGTAATGGTAAATCTATTATCTCTTTGATCCATGCTTCCTGAATGGATTAGCAATTGTAAATATTTTGTTATAAGTAATTCAAATACTTAAAGCAGCTAGATAAATGTAATAGAAAATTAGTTGGTTAAAAAAAATAGCTTGGATTGCACCAACTTCAAAATCAGCTAAAGCCCCAGAAATTTTGTTCCCAAATCCATAGCTTGGAGACTGCAGCACTATTTGAATGTTATCTGCTTCTGGAGTTTGTTCTGTGTACCACTCATTTTTTAATTCCTTCGAAAGGTTTTCCATACCAGCATTAATGGTGTCATTAAATTCTGCTGCATTTTCAGAAGTTTCAGCATTCAAGACAGCACAAGGATTAGCTAAAATCATGAATAAGTGACGTTTACAAGTAGAAGAAACAAAGTTATGTAACTATACTCTATTCAAATAAAGGTGCAAAAGTTTAATACTTACCTATGACCTCGATGTTAGGCAGTAATTTATCTTTTATTTTTGAAGGTGCCAGCAGAGTAGTAATCATGTCCAAATTTTTAAAGAACTCACCCTTTTGAGCTTTAGAAAACTTAAACGTAAAGTCTCCCTTGTCACAGTCATACTTACCACTTGAAGCATCATTCTCGACGATCTCCCCAGGAAGATTCAACCTAAAAGTGATAATGATGGGTAAGAACAAGACATCAGAATATATATGAAACCACTCTGATTTACCTTAGATAATAGGGAGTAGAGTAAAATCGAAAATCACTCCCATCTACTTCGACCATAGTATCCTTAATATTAGCATAAGGAGCATGAATGACGAACATAATGTAATCGTCTGTTTGTGCCAATTCAAATCGTGGAGTCAACATTTTCTTCCGATTTTCGAAGTTTATTCTTGTAGAAGTTAAAGCACCGACGAGAGTTACCAAATTAATATTATCTTGAAGTTTGATTTACTAACCTCACGTCTTCGCGTGTTTTTTTTTTTTTTTTAAGGTGATGGTTCACCCGGCTATATATACCGCTGGATTTGACTAATTTCCAAACTTGCAGGCTCTGTGTTATATTCTCTAATACTTAATTCTCTTCTTTCTTCGGACCTTTTAGAAACCCGAAACCCGAAAGTGCGAATCCCGTTAGATGACGCTGATGCTGGGCTCAAAGTTATACCAAACAAAGCAGACGACAGTACCCGAATAGAAATACACATTCCGGCAGGTATAGGGTGTAATCCGCAATCCCGCCAGCAGTAAAGCAGACGACGTCGGTCTACTTGCTCTTTTTCGTGACATTTTCTGATTGTAAACAAAGTATATTGTGCTAGACGTAAACAAACACGCAGACCAAAAAAAAGTTTCAAGTGCCAAAAACAAAAATGGAAATAACAGCATTACTGCTGGCGGAATTGCGCGGGATCACAGCAAAAATAGAAATAACAGCTTTACTGCTGGCGGGATTGCGCGGGATCACAGCAAAAATGTCACGAAAAAGACCAAGTAGACTGACGTCGTCTGCTTTACAGCTGGCGGGATTGCGGATCACATCACCAGTAAATCGACAGTAGCGCCCCCAACCACGCAACGTTGTCACGTCTTACATATGTAACTGCTGGCGGTGATTGTGGATTACACCCATAGCAGGACCAGCTCCGGTGCCTTAAGCTTGGTCTCCGGACCTCTTCCAGCCGTGTTCCAGTAGCACTCTCTGACAACTTACCGACAACTTAAACATGACGCAAGATATCGTAAGACCGGTCGCCTGAACCCGCCCGGAGACGCACCTGGCAACGTCCCCTACGGGGGCCGTAGAAATGAGTATCCGGTAGCGGGAGATGGCCCTGAAAGAGCCTATTTCTTTTCGGGTAGTATCATGGTGTAAGAATAGACAGGTGGGCCGAAGGCCTACCTCAACGCATTGTAAAAAAAGTTCAAATTTTGTCGCAGTACCGATACTAGCCACCAGAGGGATCCGTGTCGTGCAGGCCAATGATAGTATGAAAATTTTTTTTTTCTTTTTTCTTTTTTTTTTTTATATAGTCACACTGACCATTATAAAAACTGCCTCTACTACTCGAAACCACCTAGCGGATTTTAGATGTACTGCGACACAAATTGGACTCGATAGAGGCGGGCCTTCGGCCCACCTGTCTATTCTTACACCATGGGTAGTATTACACTACGACCAGTGTACACCTAAGTGTAAGTGATAATTTTTAGGCAGTGAGTAGTGACGGAGTGACCCTAAATGGCAACGTCGACTGTTGCTTCTTCTTGATCAACAAGAGATGGCGTTAGCTTTGTAAGGCAACCAGCTTTTTGTCATAAAAACAGCAGGAGAGAAAGAGAGAAGGGCATTTATTGCCTGTGTTGTCTGCTAGTGTTTTTGTTTGTAACGTCCTCGAATCAGAGCAATCGTCAACGTTGGTTACATTAGCATGTTAAAAAAAGATAACACACTAGGTCTATACTTTGAGTAAAATGATGGTGTACGTTGCTACTACCAAGTGTTTATGCTCTTTTATTAAAAGCTACATTCTGGGTAGACTATCAAGAGTTGTCGTTTTCAACTATCTGTTCCCTGTTGTATCATTCCGGTATCAACTTATAAAAAATAATTTTATAGGGCCAAATATGTGCCTTTGCACCAAAACTTGATATAGTAGTAATTTTGATTACCAAGAGTCTATCGTTAAAAAACTATAAGTTTTTTAACAGTCTATACAAGTTTATCCCATTGTGCTGAAAATCTATAAAGTAATTTTCCCGATATGAGTCTTTTGTAAATCGTGTTCTATAGAGATTTCTCATCAGCCAAGACTAGAAAAAAGTAATCTTATCAGATTTTATAGAAAAAATTATTCTCATTACATATGATATCATTTACTACCAGTATATTTTACTGTACTACATGATGTAATAAAATATCATGTAAATATGAGAAAAAAAACCTACGTTTCTCATAAACCAGTTTTTACAGAGATTTGACCACTTACGATTTTGAAAATCATACGTTTCTAATCAAGATAAAAAGTTGTCGTATTATAATAATATATAA